ATGTTTATATGTTCATCTTGATATATTATGTATTTTGGCTTGCAAATATATTTGTAGCTTTATTGTCTTTATCTCCAAGCCTTTCATTATGTTGTGGATACATCTGTTTTTAATATTAGTGGACAGTTTCTTAAAGTTAAAGAAAACCTTTCTCTTTGTCTGCAACTGTGCAAAGTACGTGAGTTATAGAATATGAATTTAGAAAGAAGCTTATAAATTATAGTGTCTTTTTTCCATATTCCTGTTAACAAAAAAATTAATATGACTTCCAGAGAATACCTTATTTTTTATATTCATAACATCTTTGTGGAGTGAGAAAGTCATATTGCCACCAGAAGTTTACAATTAATTTCTTGTTGCTCAGCTGACAAACCTAGCAAGAGACAGCACGAGGGCTGTTCTTGAGGTTTAGAATTTAGGCCCGTGGTTTGGCCGTATGTCACATACTTCACATCACACTGAGCCTTACTCCCTCTGCAAAGTGCTCAGTAAAAAGCTATATAGCACAAATATGAGCAAAAAATACTTTAACTTCTATCATGGATATGTGTCAAATAAATTGTGTTTTATTCAGAGTGACAAAGATATATGAAGTAGCCCTAACCACAAATATATCGGAAACAGCTACCTATCAAAGTGTAGTTTTGTTTTGTTTTTGTTTTTATGGTACTGGGAATTGAACTTGGGATCTTGTGCTTGCAAGGCAAGCTGCAGAACCACTGAGCTAAATCCTCAGTCCCAAACTGTAGTTTTTACCTGATACACAATCGAGAAGTGCAGTTGATCTGTAATTTATGTTTTATTTTCCAACTATTTTACCTTATTCTGTTATCATGATCTACTTTTACTATTGAATAAAATTTACAGGGAAAAAGGGTGATGTTTCCTATTAAACACCATAGAGTATACTATGCATGATGATGTACATATTTGTGTGGTGTGCAGTATTGTATTTATTTAAAGGCAGTATCTGCTCTGATTATCTACTCTGATTATCATTGGCAAATGGTCTCATATTTTGCTGAAATGAAACAAAAATGAATAATAAAAATAAAACAAATATAATTCTATAAACAAAACAAGTAAGTATAAAAGGAAGTGAAGAGGGTTATGAATCACATTTAAAAAAAGCAAAATAAGAATTCCAAGTAAAGTTTTAATATAACTAAAGCAATAAAGAAGTCATTTTCTAAGGTCTATGCTAAAATTATTTTATAACTTGTATGACTTTTCTACTCTAAAGGGCTCATATTTTAAAGAGTCCTATAAAATATATTGAAAAGAATAATAGAAAATAAGGTGATACAAATTGCATTAGTCAAAACTTGTTAACAAGACTTTTCATTGTTTCCAGGAGACACTTTGAAAGAGTTTGGCTAGTTTGATATCACTGAGTGATAGCATCCATTTTCCATTAGGCAAAATGCATGTATGTCTGTCATATGCCAATATGGGGGTTTTCTGTTTTAAGCAAGTTCCAGTTTGAAATACACAAAGACTGAATATTTACTTTATAAAAGCCTGCTCACAATACAAAGAAATTTGAGAAGTGTGCCTTAATGTAATGAGTCCCTCCAGTACATCACATTTTTATTTTACCAGATTTTGTAGGATACTGAGGTCACAGAAACTCAGATTTCATTCAAGAAAGAATATCACTATAATTGTTCTTTAAACAAAATCTATTTGAAATAATCTTGTTTTTGCCAACATATTTTTAGTTATAAATTTAATAGAGCATGATTAATTTTTTTTTCTTTTTCAGCATCTCTGGAATGTGATTTTGTGATATTTGGCTCATCATTAATTCTGAGAAAACCTAAAAAATTTTAAAGGAATATTCCACACTACAACATATAAGAAAAACAATTGTATCTTACATATAATTTTGATTGTTTTTTAGGTGAGTATAAATCATATAGAGAATAAACAAACACATAATTACAATTTGAGTTTCAACAAGAATAAAATGATAAATGAACGTACTATAATAAAAATGGGCTCACATTTACAAACTGAAATGTCTTTTAAGCTAATGAAGTTTCTCAGATTTTCTGTGACAATAATAGAGCTAAGTATATGAGTTTTAATCAATTTCTTATTCTAACATTACAACTTATAAAATTAAAAAAAACTACTGATTTAAAATTTTTAATAATATGTGAAGTTTCTTGATAAATATTTTTAAATTTATTGTAGTCATTAATTTCCAGGTAGAATCACTAAAATTCTTGACAATATCTTACATTTATGGCTAGGTACAACATAGTTTGAGGTGACTTGGCAAATAAGAAAACATGTTCTGTAATTAGAGAAAATTCCAGAGATGCTTAAAAGTGTTTTTTTTTTATTGCACAAACTTGGCTATTTTATTCTTTGATAGGTTGTATTAATTTCATATTAAGCTACTTTTGTACTACGAATTCATAGGTAATATTTAATACAATTTTACAGAAAATAATCTTAAAAGATTATAGGTTCTGTACTATATTTTTTTACATGCCCAATACATTCAGAAATCTACAAGTAGACATTTACACAACAGTGAATAATAGGATTAATTATTGATCAGTATATATTAACAATGCTAGATTTTTAAAAAAGAAACAAAACAAGTATCAAAATTTTACTTACATTTACTAGTTCAACTAGATTTTTTTCTTTAAATCAGGGAATTTTATTGAGGAATAATTCCTTTTTATGTTAATATTTAATAATAATAATAATAATAATACCTTTTACCTATTTATCACTTCACAAGGTTTACAGAATGTTTCCCATGCATAATAATTAAAATGTTCCACAAGTTATGTCATAGTATAGACAGTAATGGCAAGTTAAATCCTTAAAAACACATACATTGCAGCAAACTCATTCTACACAATACTGTAAATTCAAAAAGATATTTTAAATATCAATTTTCTCTATTGCATCTTGCAATGAGTCTATCTACTGAATCTGATTTCAGGTAGTTTCAAGAAATTAACATTTGTATTTTTCTCAAATTGACACAATCACATGTTTCTCTGAAATTAGTTTCAGAAATAGGAAATTGTACATGACATTATTTTAGGGAATAATCCAGTGTATTCAAAACATTACATGATGTTATAGGGACATTTCAAACTTAAAGACCAACTTCATTATACTAGCTACTTGTGCTGAGTATTCTGCATTACTAAATGTGCTCAGAACACAAGCTAAAATGTCTAAATGAAAGAAGAATTAATCAAGATTAATTGCTCACCAATAGGTAGACTCTAAAATCAAATCTTCTGGTCTTCAGCTTACAAGACTAGAAACTTTGGAACAGAGAAGTTCAGATCTAGGAAAACCAGCACTGGTGGAACCCTGAGCCTCCTTAAAGAATCTCTTGATCTCACGCCCTCTTCCTTACTGCTGAGAAACAATGTTCAGGCACCCTCCTGGAGCATAGTTACAAAAGAACCCACACCTAGGTGAACAAACCTACTGAGTAATGACCACACTTCACCTGCTAAACTCACAACTAGTTATTCTTCAGTACTAGTGGAGAAATGAGCTTCTCTAAGAAACATTCTCTGATCATTGCCTCCCAATTCAGCAATAGTTGTTACCTCTGGACACGACTGTGTGCTAACTCCAATTTTCACAGATAGAGAACACCACTGCAGCGATATGTTCACATATTCATCTTGAAAGCTACAATGCAGACTTTCTACAGCCACCATTATTCTTTTATATTTATGTCTGCAGGACCGAGCCTAGTAATTGATAGGTAACAAATGCTCAATAAATGTTTCTTGAATGAAGCTGAATGGGAGTAGCATGGCCACATCTGGCACATTTGCCACATTAATGGTTTGGAGGTGGGAAGATAAGACTCAGTCGCTCAAAAATAAATAAAAAGAAAAAAAGAAAAAGGACTAATATCACATAGCAAAAATGCCCCGGTACAGGCTCCTTAACTGGAATGAATGCACTTATCCGTATCATGAGAGCACATCTTTGAACCTGCTACCACTGACTAAATAACACCTCTGCAGTTCTGCACATGGGGACATATATTATTTATTACAATTAAAGTAATTTACTGTCATCAATACATACAACCAAGAAATACGATTTAGAAAAAAATTTTAAATAGCTGTATTTTCCCGAGATTTCATATTCTTCACGTAAATCTTGCGTGAAGCTTTCAAATCCTTGTAGGTATTCTCTATTTAGTTAAAACACAACAGTAGATTGCTACAAAAGCATTCAGACATTGTGTTATTTATAATGGAATAAGTAATACTTATACTACTATAATAGATAACAAATAAGACTGAATTTAAAACATTGCTTTATATACTGATCACTCTCCCTGAAATAAAATTTCATTTCCTTCTCTTGGAAAAATGATTATCCAAAGTAAAATTCAATTTAAAAAATGTATAGAAAGAGACTTCTGCTGGAGTGAAAGTGTACATATGCCTCAATAAAAAAAGATATCATACATATACATTACAAAGTTTTTCAAGAAAGTAATGAACCTAAAATGACTCAGAAATCTTTGCAAACTTTTCCATTGTTTATGAAAGACATAAAGTATTAGCTTACTACCTGATTCTTTTAACTTTATTCTATTCCTCTAAAACATCTTTAAAATAACATATTGGAATAAGGACTGGAGTATGTACTTTGAGTACATTTTATAGACAGTAAGTATGGTCAGAGAATGAAGCGGACACACTTGAATTTTTAACACAGTTGCACACAGTAAAGCTTGATTAAGTAGTCAGAGGGAAAAGTGCTGCTTACATAGAGCATAAAATACAGTCTAATAAATATTCCACATGCTTAAATTACTTCAATTTGGTTTTTACATGCAACTTCATGAAAGTCTCAGGTAAAGAAAGTATGTGTTTAATGGTTTCTTTTCCCAAAGACAAAACTATTCAAAACCTCTTGAAATCTCTTAATCACTACACACCTTTACAGAGAAGAAAACATGAGAAATTATTAATTTTTAAAATTACCCAGCAACTCCATTGCATCATCTTCATTATCAATATCTTCCTCTGTTACAGATGGGGTAGGGCTGTGGATGGACTCAAAGGAATCCTGAGAAAGCATCGCTGCCAGAAGTTTCTTGTGCTGCTGCTGCTGCTGTTTTAATCCTTTAGTCTTGGGCTCCATCTTTAAACTGAAGAAACATTTAAATGTTAGTTATCTCTGGTGAGTAAAGAAAATCTACAATTTTCATTCCATTTTGTTATGCAAATGTATGGACATATTATGCAAGGTATCAAGGACAATGGAAATAGAGATTCTCTTCAAGACATCCTTTGATACCTCACCAAAAAATTCCTGCATGAGTTGGAGGAGCTGAAATTCCTGACCTAATTTAAACCAACAGTTGTCCACTAGAAATTAACATCCAGTGTTACAAGATTTTATGGCTTATTTAAAGAGTAGTTAGGAAGTCCAGATTATTCTTCTCTACCTTATTAAACAAATTCATACAAGCAAACCACAAGTAATGGTATATATATTTTACCATACTAAGATTTTTTACAAAACAATTCTTTTTCTTCTGGATATGTGTATATAATTATCTCAGAATTACTTGTAGAAAAGACTCCTTTCATACACTGAATTGCTTGCAGTAGTTATACTGTTTTTAAGTCTATGTGTTTATAAAATATTTCCCACAATTGCTCTTTGTGTTATATATGTGAGATGTAACAGTTAGCAGACCATCATTCAAGTATCAGCATCATTACTTTGAGTGAAATGTGGACACCTTACTTCCCTTTCACTTTCTTTACCTTGACTATAGTTAGTTAGTTAGTTTTTGTTAACAGGATCTTGCTAGTCTAGTCTAGCCTTGAACTCTGTATGTAGCCCAGGTTAATCTCAAACTATTGATTCTCCTGCCTCAACTTCTTTAATGCTGTGATTACAGGCATGTGCAACTACTACTAGGACCTTTCCTATTTTTAAATTTTATTTCTTTGTGTATTAGGTGGCATTGTAATTTTTATTGCAATAATCAAATATTATTTGCAAGACTCATGAAGCTAGTCTATTGGATCTATTCTGTTTTCTTTTTTCCCTAATGTTCCAAGATTCTGTTTATCCTCTCCTTTCCGTTTGAAGAAGTTCCCTCATTCATTCTATAAGGAACCACTGAGCAGCTCATCCAGTTTTCCTATGTTTAAAATTTTCTTCATTACCTCTTCAATTCACTATCTGTAGAATTTGTGGTTGACACTTCTTTTGACACTTACTTCTGGCTTCTGCATTTTCAAATGCAAAGTCCCCAGTTGTTCAAATTGATGTTCTCCTTAAGATAGATATTCTTGTAAACATATCGAACTGCTTTCAAGATTTCTTTTTCAATATTGGCTTCCAGAAGTTTACTTGTAATATTCAATGTTTGAAATTCTTCGGGTTTACTCTATTTGGGGTTTTCTAAGATTCTTGAATCTCTTGATTTATATCTCACAGGGTATTCAAGAGCTTTCCAGTTGTTATTCCTTCTGGTTCTGGTTCAACCCACTCGTTGTTCCTCTATGTCTGGGACTCAATTATAGGAATATCTAATCTTTCGTTTGTTATTCTCCCATAGGTCCCTGAGGCTGATATAGTTTTTAATTTTATTTTCCCTCTGTTGTTCAGAATGGGTGAATTTCATGCATCTGTCCTCACATTTAATGACTTTATCATCTGTCATCTCCATCTTAATATTGAGTTCATCCAACAAACTTTTTTTGTGATTTTTCAGTTCTGTAATCTTCATTTTGTTCTCTTTTCAATATCCATTTTTTGCTGATGTTTTATATGCTTATTTGTCAAAAGAGAATTTTAAATTTTTTATTGAAGCATTTTTGTGATGATTGCTTTACATTCCTTGCTTGATAATTCTGTCATCCGATTCATCTCAGTGCAATTCATAGTTTTTTATCATTCAAACCGTGACTAGCCTGATTCTTGTCGTGTATGTTCCTTTAAAAAAATTATGTCCTGTGCAACTTGGCTATGAGTAAACTGGGTCCTAGGTAAATCTTTTACTTTAGGAGGCAGCCACTATCATATCCTAGCCTAACTTTGTAGCTTGTATTTAAAATAACAATTTAACTGTCGAGATTTTGCAATACAGTTTTGGTCTGTGTGGTTTATCTGGTGTTGCTGACTCCCACCGATCCCTGTGAGTGCTGTGAGAAGGGGCAGAGGGAACAACCCCAGCTTGGTTATTGGATGCTTCCAGGTGGATGAAGGAAGGATACAAGTTTGGGTAGAAAAAGGTTTCTCATGCCAAGCTTTGTTGCAAAGGGATGTCTCCTTTTGTTCATTAAAATGCACTGACTTGCTTGATGTCTTGAAGCAATAGGAAGATCTCAGTCCTTTTGATATAAAGACTTCCAGGCCAAGCCACTAATTGAGGCAGATTCTTTCTGCTGGTGCCACTCAGATTCCCTTGTATCTTCAGTGGGGAAAGAAGCCTCGGATTCAGCATGGAAGAAGAGTGCTTCCCTGACCAGTCATCGTTAGTGAGGCTCCCAGTCAACCCCCGGGCCTGTGTCTCTGTGTTGATTCTCCTGATGTTGTTGGAGGAGCTCCTGTCAGTGGGAAAAATGAACCTAGGCCATCTTCTCTAGTTTGAGTTTGGGAACGCCACATCTAGGATGCCGTAATCATCTGGGAAAGGGAGATCCTTATAAGGTATCCTCCTGTTATCATGCTTCTCATTTCCAGGCTCCTAACCATACCAGGTTCTTCTTACACTTTTTCCTTCCTCTTGCTTTATTCAGCTTATAGCTGTATTTTGTGGAAGAAGCAAGGGAAATGAATCTGTGCCGTATTTTCCCAAACAAAGGTGGCAGATGATTTATTAATTAGAAATGGAAAATGATACTTTTATGCTAGAGAAACCTGGTGAACACCACTTTATTCAAGTTGATCTAATGAGCATCAACAATAATAGGGAAACTGACATTATGTATCTTCTGATATGACAGAATATGAAGACCTTTTACTAAAAACTGTTTAATATGAATTTAAACAGGAAAGACTCAGATAAATGCAGATATGGGAACATTTTTCAGGAAACTGGCATGAAGAAGGCCAATGTCATGGAAGAGATCTGAGACGCTTAAATTCTACAAATGATCCTTTATTGAATAGTAGCTTAAAAAGAAGTAAACACAAATATAAACAAACAAAAATTGAAACATGATCTTATTGGAAAAGAAATTTAACAATGAACTCTATGAAATAATTTTATGGTATCATTGTCAAATGCTTTGGTATATATAATGATCACTTATCACTTTAACTTTTGATTAGGATAAAAGATACACACACACATATTGCTTTGAGTGACAAATGAACAAAGTCTATTGATAAGATGAATAACTTTAGCCAAGTAACTTATCTTACCTTTTTCTTGTTTTATTTTTTTAATATGTAAGGTAGATTATGGAATTACCTACCATATAGGGTGGTGTGACAATTTCAAAAAGGCTAGCATGTGTAACAGAGTGACAGACACCTGTATTTACATGTCTGTTGATTAAATCAGTCACATTTTCCTTTATGACTTCATGCATTTTTATATTGCAAACTTAAAAGATAACAAAGTATTTTATTTAATAATATTTTATACTTAACAAAATGTGCTTTATGCTTTTCTGTAAAAAACAAGCTACGGTTCATTGGCAATTTTCCCTTTTAGGAATAAATAATAACTCCTGAAGTTTTACTGTTTGAAATAGGTATGTTATGAAGATTCTAGCAATGTCTACTTCCTATGTACCTAAATATATATATAAGATGGTTAGAAATTACATTTCATGTAAAATTAGCATCTTGAAGATGTTATTTTATATGAATATGCATAACTGCAATGTTTACTCCTGTGCTCATAAAATATGTAATTATATTTTAAAGGTCAATATTGATCAAAAAATCAAAACAAGCCTATTTACGAAAAACACATCTATCCAAAGGTAACTTCAGGTCCTTGATTCCAGGTTCACAGCTGATTTTCTTGAGGCTTTGGTGCTGAATGTACTCTGCCACATAAACCCTGTATTATATGAGCGCCCTAGAAAGGCTTGGGACCTGACTCTGTTATCAAATATATCAGTATTTCCACATCACTATGTATCAGCATTGTCATCTAGTAGGTAAAATAAATCTACAGTGCTCATGTTTCGCTATCGTGAACTAAGCAAGTAATTTGGGTCCTCATGATGTCTTGAGTTTCACAATTACAGATGAGTACTGTGAGGAAAACATTTGAATAAAGAGCTAAGAGATGAGATTCCAAATGCTATTGCAAGGTCAAGCAAGATGGGAACTTAGACTTTATGGAGTCTACCTGGTGATAAGGGTAAGGGAGAGGAGCCAGTGAACCCTGTGAGGAGTTCAGTTGTAAAGATAATGACAGAGCAGAAACATCTGCAGGCTAGAGAGGCTGCCTTTGCGGTGGGGGGCACTATGGATTGAACCCTAGGTCTTCACACTACACTACATCCTCAACACTTTTTTATTTTTTATTTTGAGACAGGATTTCACTAAGTCCTTAAATTGGCCAGGCTGGGCTTAAACGTGTGATCTCAGGTGTTTGTCACCATGCCTGGCTAAGGCTGCCCCTTTTATAGAGAAGTCCCACTGTGCTTTGATGCTTATAGGAATGATCTAGAAGAAGAAATGGTGCTGCGAACACAGGGCAGTAATCAGTGCTTATAGGTGAATAAGATTGAGGATCTAGAGCTGAGAGGGGTGATCATCTTGAGTCCTGAGCAAGGCGGGTGGTTGTCTTTAGCATGGGCAGTTCATCCATCGCTACAGGAGAAAGCAGAGGATAAAAGATTGGAGGTGAGAAGGAAAGTCAGGCCGCCTCACTGTTAAGAGTGGATGAGTGTACACCAGGCAATGGCTGCAGATTCCCCGGCCAGGTACCACCGTGTTCCTGGGGGTGGTGATCACAAGTTCACTGACATGGACCGGTGCAGCCATGTGTTCTTTAGCCTTTGTGGGTTGCATCATAGTGAAAATGAATCAGATTTGAAAAGGGCAGAGCTTTATCACGAAAGTAAAACAAAGGAAATGAGAAACGAGGGAGTGAAGGATGTATCCAAGGGACTGATTATAGCACAGGCCCACAGACAGAAGCAAAAGAAGAGAAAACCAAGG